TTTTAAAATGGCATATAAATTTTGCTTATTCCTAGCTATCAATAATATATATATATATATATATATATATATATATATATATATATATATATATATATATAAAGCGGTCTCTTTCCTTTGTGGAAAATTATGGCTCTTCATCATGGCTTCCAAAACACAGTGCATCCTCTTCTGATAGCCGTGTTTCGAAATAAAGGAAAGCCATCACTATGGAAGTGAAATTAGATATTTTTATACGCTCTGAAAACAAGAAAAAGTGACGCAAACATTGGCCGGTTGTTTGGTTTAAGCCATTTAACTGTCACATAAAAAACACACACACATATATATATATATATATATATATATATATATAGAGAGAGAGAGAGAGATAGATAGATAGATAGATAGATAGATAGATAGATAGATAGATATTGAGTATCCCTGTAAGAGATAATGACATTTTCTTGTTATATTGCTATAATGGATGCTATAAAATAATACACAGGAAGAAAACTGGTAATAACTCTTTAAGGCGAAATTACTTTGAGAGCTTAATAATAACATTACTAAGTATGAATACGCATCAAAATCATTATACTACATCGCCAGTCTTTACTGAATCCATTCTTAAAGAATCTAACGTATATCTATCTAAAACAAAGAGTATGTACATAAATCCTTTTCCCCAGTCAAAACAGGAAAATCCAACAAACATAATGCCTACGAAACTTACACACAATTGCGAATATATATTATCAACTGATACCCACATAGACGAAGTAGAAATTTTGAAATTACATACATATAGCAATATTTACGGTTTTAACGCAATTGATATACGACTGACCAATGAAAATCAACCTTAGAAAAGAGAAAATAGCAGATTTTCTCTTAGTAGACATACACATAATTACGAATACCGATGCCTAAATAGTCAAGCTAGAATTGTTGTGAACTTATATATATATATATATATATATATATATATATATATATATATATATATATATATATATATATATATATGGTTGGATAGATGTGAGTTTGTGACCCTGGGTTTCACGCTTTAGCGATCGTCAGACAAACTGATTAATGTTTTAAAAAATTTGGTTTTATGTAGATTGCGTGTATTGGTGTTATTGTGGAAGTGGTGGGGGAAACTTTGTCGCTTATGTCATTCATCGTACGAACGCAAACATCGATGTATGTAGACACACATACATACTAATACATATACATACTAATACATACTAATAAGTACCGCGCATATAATATATAAATAATTATACATATATATATTTATTTATATTTATATACACTTTTCACACACACACACACACACACACACACACACACACATATATATATATATATATATATATATATATATATATATACCATTATTTGCAGTTACAAAGAACTGAAAGAAAAGACCATATCAAAATAATTGGGAACCATAACTTTCTCTACAGCTGTTTTCACATTGATGTCTGAATTCATGTTTTGGTGAAGTCAAAATAACAAAGAGCCGGAAAGGAGATGGAAAAAGGAAAATTTTAGCTGTGTAGTGAAGGTTAAGCCAGAAAGAAAAGAATCTTTTTTCATGAATTATTCGAGGCGTGTCGGCAATAAAAGTTGAATAAAAAAAATAGTTGTTTAGGCATTAGTTTGAATGTGATGGAACAGTAAATCAAACATTGGTTATTCTTCCTCATTACGAAACTTTCATTCTTTTATAGACTGAAACGCTTGCAGTCATTGATTTTTTTCCACCAATATTTCAAACTTATTTTTCTCGCCTGCTTCTTTCATTTTTCCTCAGTATTCTCAAATAAAGGCCTTCAGTGCTGATTAAAATGTTTTGTCTATGAATACAAAATCGTGTTTATCGATCAAATTCACACGAGTCAATGTCAATGGTATTTTTACTGGGATTCACTATTTAAAATTTAGAAAAAATACGTTCTTACTTGCTGACTGAAAGCACTCAATTTATTCTTTACATTCAATCTTTGCTAATCAAATGATTCTAAGAATTACTTGATTTAGTTTCCATTATTGTTTGAAGACCGTTACTGTATTATAAATTGTCTATGACTTAGGAAAGTTGTTCTTTAATCAAAGGAAATGGTAATTTCTCCAAATATTTAGACTAATAAGATTGTAATAATAAAGAATTGATGGAGTACATCTCTTTACCTCACTATATATATATATATATATATATATATATATATATATATAAAGGGAACATAGAAGTCAACACTTAGAGGCGACAGTCTGTTTCATGCTATATGCAATCTAAATGTTGACTTCTATGTTCACTTTTATATTTACACACGCTCTATCTCTGATATTGAGCACTTTATTCCATAAATATAGCACACCTTAAGACTATATTTCTTTATATATATATATATATATATATATATATATATATATATATATATATATATATATATATATATACTACACACGTATACTATATAAAAGCAAACATATCTCTATCTATAAAAGGCAGGATGTGTGTGTGTGTGTGTGTGTGTGTGTAACGAATTCACGGCTGCAATTTTCGACGGACTTGCACCAAAATTTATATGCACATGTTCTAAGTTAGTGGGAAGACAAAGACCGACTTTGCATTTCCCAACTCCCATCGATAGTGTAAATAATCGATTTTTTCTTGCTTCTACGGCAGGTTTCATGTAGTTTTCGGCCATTTTCTACTGGCCAGAGTGAGAGCCTATAGCTGGCTCACGGGTAACATACCTGGCTGATTTAAGCAAGTGTTTGACAGAACGTGGTCTGGGGGAGGAACCAGAGAGAAGGAGCTTGTTGACAGCTGCAATGTATAGAGGGAGGTGGAGATCGCCTACGTCCTGAAAGTACATGGCACATAAAAAGAAAAAAGAACAAAATTAAACAGGGTTTAGGAGAAATAACAAAAAGATAATTTTTTTAAGAGCTACAAAGGACAGAGATTTTAAAGGAATCATAATCGCCTACACTCTTAGTGGACACGGCACATAAAGAAAGATTCTACTGAATTTTGTTTCAACTCAAAATTATCGTTTATCTCTTCATGGAAATATTCTTCAAAGCTGTGAGCCATCAGAATTCGTATAAATATTGCCAATCCTAGAAAAGCAATGCTGTATTTGTACAAGATAAAAATGACTGTATAACTTTCCTTTTTTTTTTATTTTTCCCTTTTTGTTTCCTGTAATTTTTTTTATTTCTTCCGCTTATCTTTCTTTTTATATTTTTGTCTATCAAGAATTTTTTCGTCTTTTTTTGCATTTATATTAATTCTTGTTTTCCTTTCCTTTCCTTTTATATTTGACAAGCAAACAAAAGCGGTATTCTTTCGGTTTTCTATGTGAAATTTATTGGAAATACTTTTAATTCATTCGATTTCCCATTAAGAAAACACTTCAGGGAACGTCCTCGTCCTATAAATATTTTAAATATATTAATTTTAATCCTTTTATAAAATCTACCGACACAAAAAGAATCAAAGCCAGAAATTAGTTTGCCAATTACAACGATGTAAATATGTTAATTTCCAAAATAATTAGAGAATTAGTTCAGGAAGAAATTGAGATTTTAGCAAAATCTGGAACCAATCGATTGATAATTAAAAATAATCAATTTAATAAATAGTGAAAAATATAATTACCGCTAAAATAAATGATTACAAATAGAAAGTGATGTACAAATAGTTCTTTTTTTATTTTATAAAAGTAAAGATTTATATTTAAATTTTTATATTATTATTTTATTTTATTTTTTATATTTTACATTTTGACAAATCAAATATAAAGAGAAACCACTATACTCTTTATTCCTAAACTAAACTTGTTTTCAATAATCCATACACCGAAGTATTTGAAGTGGTTAGTATTAACTAATTCCACATCCTGAATTTTTATCATGGATTCATAGTATGCGCCATCAATGCTTTCATTCAATTCCAATTATATATATATATATATATATATATATATATATATATATATATATATATATATATATACCCAAGTATATAATTGGTATATACGGAAAATATTCCAATAACCAACAATTACTATTCTTAAAAGAGTGCTCAATACAAAGTAGAGCAGATATAATTATTATTTATAAAGCAATTATAACATAAGTATGTTATAAAATCAATACAAAAATAGCCATTTTGTTTCAACACCCTCGGTGCCTTATCAAGGCTTGATAAGACACCGAGGGTGTTGAAACAAAATGGCTATAGTTGCATTGATTTTATAACATACTTATGTTATAATTTTTATAAATAATAATTATATATATATATATATATATATATATATATATATATATATATATATATATATATATATATATTGTTTTGGAATTATTTATCTTTAGTCCTATCTCTTGGATGTATATTTTCTAGTCCAGGGCTGGAATGGTCATTTTCTGTTCTTGAGGTGCAATGGTCATTTTCATAATACAGGATTGTCACCCATACCAAAAAGTAATGAGAACAATAGAAGAACAAGTAATACAGTAATACAAAGCACATGTGTTCGATTCAGTTTAGTCATTTTCATTGACACTGTGACAGTGTCAATGAAAATCGAGAAGGTCTGTATGAACGCCATCATTTTCCTGGCACAAAATGATGCGGCGTCATGTCCTGAGTGATATTTTACGAAGCTGAGCTTTATTGATTGTTGCAAAGGCTTTCCGTAAGACTTCCTTTAACTGATGGGCATTCTGGTATCGTTTATGTGAAACTCTCTCCTTGATTATACCCAACAGAGCTTTGAAATAAAAAAAAATTATATTATTTAGGGAAGATAAGAATTTCGGACCGCCCTGTACTTTTGAAAAGTATAGAGTTTACTTCAAACTGATCGCAAGATAATCCTAAATTGATTAATTAGGCAAGAAAAACATTCAGGGTGAAAATCTGTTTAATGTTGCTTGTAAGATTCTATGTTTAAAAATGTTATCTAATGATCGACTTACAACAATCTCTCGCTGACACACTGGTCTTCATATGATCCCTGAAGTTAAGCCACGTCGAGCCTTGTCAGTACCTAGATTGGTGACCACTTGAGAATACCAGCTGCTGTAATCTTGGATGTGCTGGTACTGTATAATGGCCCCAAATTGTTAATCTTAGAGCCGGGTTCTGTCTTATGAGTATCAAAATATCCAAGCCTTCTTTTCTCCTGATGTACCCTAGAAATGTCAACTGTCTTTTTCTGAAATCAAGTATAAGTGTCCATTCACTCTAAAATCTCGTCGTTGCTCACATGTTCAGTTCATGGCATCCTCAGCATCCTTCTGTAGAAGTTTCAACTGTCTCTTTCCGATGTTAAGAATAAGCGTCCTTTATGCTTACATTTTCTCTATGATTTCGTCGTTGCTCACATGTTCGGTCCATGGTATCCTCAGCATCCTTCTGTATAAACTTCCACTGTCTCTTCCTGGTGTTAAGTATAAGTTTCCTTTTTGTTTCCATTTTCTCTAAAACCTCGTCGTTGCTCACATGTTCGGTCCATGGTATCCTCAGCATCCTTCTGTAGAAATTTCAACTTTCTCTTCCTGATGTTAAGTATAAGTTTCCTTTTTGTTTCCATTTTCTCTAAAACCTCGTCGTTGCTCACATGTTCGATCCATGGTATCCTCAGCATCCTTCTGTAGAAATTTCAACTGTCTCTTCCTGATGTTAAGTATAAGTTTCCTTTTTGTTTCCATTTTCTCTAAAACCTCGTCGTTGCTCACATGTTCGGTCCATGGTATCCTCAGCATCCTTCTGTAGAAATTTCAACTGACTCTTTCTAATGTTAAGTATAAGTTTCCTTTTTGTTTCCATTTTCTCTAAAACTTCGCTGCTGATCACTTTTTCAGTATATTTCATTCTGAGTATCCTTCTGCAGAACCCCTGTTGCATCAAATCTTCTCTTCCTGTGTTGAGATTGTCAAGCATTCACTGACTAAAAGGAGAACTAATATTATGCAACATTTCAGGACACTTTTCTTTGCTTCTAAAAAATCTAAAAATATTTTATCGCTTTAATGATGATGATCACATGATTCATATGACGCTTTATAACTCATCATAATCAAGTTGATATTACTCACTATAACGTATTTTACTGAATTACCTAAATATAATTAATGAACTACATAAGCATAAGTTGATATTAGAATCGTTTTATTTTAATTAGATCAATTTAGCAGACATTTGGAAATCTATAAATTATTTTTTCATGTGAACTTTCGAGAAACTGTCGATTTTATTCTTTTTCTCGCCGTATGAGAAACAAAAGGCGTTTGAAATAGACAACACTTATTTTAATACAGCATGTCTAATTGAGGAATCAGAACGAGGCTCGAGAAATTCTGCTGAAGCTAAATAAGTTTCTGTATGTCTGCACTCAAATATTTTACAATTCTTTCCATTCCATCAATACTTCGCAACTTTTAAAGTTTCCTTTTAATATGCTGCTTGTGATTAAGTCTAAAACTTGATTAGAAGACCCCATTTGATTTACCTGAAGCGATCGTAACGGAATATTCTTTTGTTTGGGAACTGAGCGCCCACCGGAAACAGACAGACGTGCATAGCCGAAAATGGCCGCACATTTAAAGGAACGCCGATGAATGGCCATGAATTGCTTGAAAGGGAATCACGAAAGAAACTCCGAATAGACTGACTTCTTTATTGAATTCTTTTTTCGAAGAAAACTAGACGTTAAGCTTTTATTTGAACAATTGATTTACTTTCTTATTCAAAATGATAGAAATTTTTGGTCAATGATCAACAATGAATTATTTATGATTGGCAAATTTCTTTAACGACAGAAGCACACTGAAAAGACTGGAAAATTTCGTAAGATAGAAAAATAGAGTAAATGGAGAATATATAAATTTGTATAATGCATATGAAAGTTGCTACTTATCAGCCATTATATGCATACAATGTAGAATTGAAATATAACCAGTCAAGATTTTTTTCTTACACGTTACTTAAGTATATACTTTCTGTTCCAATTTATGCTATGTGGAACTATCATTATTATGACGAGTGTCCTCATCTTGTTTGTTGTTATCACTTTGTTTCAGCCATTGATGAAGACTGGGGCGGGGGACAAACAGCGTAAATAAATGCATACTTGTTTTTCCTTATATACACAGGGTGTATCAAAAATATTTTTACAAACTTTGAGTGTGGGTGCCTCACACCAAAACAAGGACAAATGTCCATATAGACACATGTCCACAAATCCTTCATTTTGGAGTTATTAAGTTTACAGAAAGTTATGGCGCTGTGTTTGTACATTTTGCACCAGTCTGGCATGATATTCACAGCGTGAGCACACACACACACACACACACACACACACACACACACACACACACACACACACACACACACACACACACACATATATATATATATATATATATATATATATATAACTGCCTGCTCACACTTCAATGTATCCTGCCATCGTTAAACGGAACACTGCAATATATATATATATATATATATATATATATATATATATATATATATATATATATATATATACATACAAATATAGATAACTAGACTCGTTTCGAAATCGCTAATAATCAAATCAATCTCGAGGGAAAAAAAGGTTTTAAAAAAAGAAAGAGCTACAAACATGAACTTCTGTCGACAAAAAATCGCACAGATGCAGGTCTGAAGCCCAAAGAAAAAAACCCGATATGAGTAAACAACTAACTAACAAAATAGCTCAATACAACCGTAGAGCAGACCTAGATACACCTAGTGAGCCAGACAAACCTACCTAGGTTTCACCTAAACGGATCGTCATTTCCTGACGATCCGTTTAGGTGAAACCTAGGTAGGTTTGTCTGGCTCACTAGGTCTATCTATCTATCTATCTATCTATCTATCTATACAAAGATGCAACTTCGTTTCGGTTCATTTAATTGCATCTTTGTTCTGAGTAAATTGTTTTTGGCTATATGAAAAAAATATTATATATATATATATATATATATATATTTCTGTTATGAGGTATTGTAGTTATTTACACTATTTACATTGTTCGGACCGTTGTCCTCATCTTTATTGTCATATTAACGATGTTTCGACGGTTGAAAACTCCTGCCTTCTTCAGGTGATATACCTTTATTTCCTTCACTGAAGTAGATTGTTCTAGTTACACGTGACATGACTTTTCTGGATATTTCAGTTTCACTTAATTCCCTTTAGAGACTCAACTCTCCGACTTTTTACTTACCTCTGATGTAACCAGACATCGAACTCATTGCTCTTTGGGTCAATTTACGAAATTACTTATATCCGAAATGTCGTGAATATTGCAGTAAAGATTAAAACAACAGTCGGGAAATTGTATATATATATATATATATATATATATATATATATATATATATATATATATATATATAAATGAAATCTAAATGAAATCGACTAGATTAAATACACAAAGCGCACATTTTAAAAATCATCTTTAAATTAAAAATTTTCAGCGTCTGTCTTTTGTGCGCATGTGCAATCGCATCAGCGAAACATAAACTTAATCTTTTGAAATCCTAAGGGACGAAATACATCACACGTATTGTCATGCTTCTAAAATTGTTCTAGATATAAATCAAAATTCATATATCGTTTACACCATATTGCTGTGTGTGTGTGTGTGTGTATATATATATATATACTTTTATAATTTAACTATATTGTCGACATGGGAAAAAATAATTATAATCCCTTACTATAAAGGTAATTTAAATTAACCAGAAAAAAGGATTAGACAGAAGCGTCTATCTTTTTAAATTTGGATTTTTTAATGTAATTATAACAACAAAAACATTTCGATTTCATTTTTGTCTTGAAAAGACGAAACGCGTCGGCAAAATCTAAGATTTTTTTCCAATTGTCATTTTATACCATATATATATATATATATATATATATATATATTAAAAAGAAGAGGGGTGCCGCAAACGTTTTTGGTTGTAATGTGGATTTATTGAGAAAAAATATTATACTTTGTTTTACATAATTTCACGACACGTGTTTCTGGTCTGGTCTCGCAACCGTCTTCAGGTGAAAGTGGAGATTTTTACATATTATTAAAAATAATTAATTTTTCTTCATGTTCAATGTGGAATATTCTCGATATGAGACATTCTGTTTGTGTGTTGGCAATCCTTTATATATATATATATATATATATATATATATATATATAAAATTCCATGAATAAACCTGGCAAATCTTTTTTTTCCAGGGAACATTAATTAAGGTGACAGTTGTTATCTTAAACAGGTCCTTCACATTTGTGTGACGACACTGGGGCTAACATTAATCCAGTATATTCGGTCAACATCGTAAACATTCATTATCAGAGCGTGTAGATTGCACTGATTTTCATCACTCTGTCTCTCTAATTTTTCACGAGGAACCAACGCTACTGGGTCTGTTTTGGTGTTCCCAACAGAGCAAAAAAAAAATTCAACTTTTCCGGGTGTATCTTGCAAATTCTGTTCTTCTGTGCTGAATAACTTGTGAGTCTGGATGGAAGTAGTCATTGACCTGTTAAAAATATACTGTTACTATTCAGTACGTGTTTCGGCAATCTAATTCATTGTCTTGAAAATGTGATCTACTCCTGAAGTCACGTCAGATATGGGTTGGACGTGCCGTCACCTCCCTCTGTCTTTACAAATACTTTCACAGTAACTGCTCCGACGAGCTACTTTCGCTAGTTCCCAGACTGCAGTGGCTGCAAACGTCTTTTCAAATTTAACATAGAACTCATTTCACAAAGAAGGAAATGTCAATAAGCACCCTAATACTCGTTAACGAGTTCCTCTAACAACGACGTAACTCGGAATTAGAGCATTACTGACATTCAAATCGAGTTCCTTCCAAAGAAACACACACAATACTCAATAAATAACCCCTGAAGTTGGGTTAAATAAAAACATTATCGTCCTTTAAGCTTAATATACACTGACTGACCACTTAATTGGGTACAAGTGAGTAAAATTTCTTTTTAGCAAATTTTAATCAGTCACTGATGTGGCAGTAATTTAAAAAGTGGTT